GCTAGAAAAAAAAAATAGACTCCAAACATTCAGATTTCAATTTTCTATTTTACAAGAGAATTACCTGAAGATAACAAGATGTTCTTTAGAAGGAAACTGAAAATGCACTGTTTAGTTAGCAAATAAGCTTTTGAAAATCTTCCAATTGCCTCACACACTCACTGCCAATGAGTCTGAATCAATATATAGTTGATTCTTCATTGAGTTTCGGAGACTGTAAATTGCAAAGGAGGGGATTGTAGTACAGCTTTCTCCTGCATAGCTCCGAGTGGATACAAATTACCAGAGAAGTATCACCTTTGACTTAGTAGCAAAATTCCCTATGGACCATGTCAATTTTAGTAAATTGCATTATATACTTATGATGAAACCCTATTCATAGACGTTAGAGTTCTCTAGAGTTTGTGTATAATGTAGCTTTAGAACAATCAACCATATAAGATCAAAAGGACACCATTTGCCAGAAATAAAGCTCAAAAAGCATAATAGGATAGAAGGATTAATGGAAATGAGAATCACAGGGTGGAAGGAGGTACAGTGCCATTGCAAGATAAGTACTGTAATATCGTAAAACAAAATGTGTATGAAAGGTGAAAAAGAAAAACAATTTGCTCTGCAACATTTTTGCCAATCATAATGTATATTCATTATAAAAGGAGCTCTAGTGGTATAGTATGTTTTACATTGCTCACTGATAGGTCAGTAGTTTGAATATTCCAACCAGACTCCATGGAAGGAAGATGGGCCATCCTCTGCTGTAAAGAATTACAGCCTCAGAAAAACAAATAGAGTGTCATTATGATCCAGGTGAACTGAAAGAAGTGGGCTTTTTCTATAATCACTGTGCAAAAATTATCAAAAAACACCTAATGTTGTTGTGTATTATTGAGTCAGAACTGACCCATAACTTACACTGCAGAGGGATTTCAAAGGCAGTAAAATCGTATGGAAACAGATTTCCTATCCTTCTCCTGTGGAGAAGCTGATGGATTTTAACCGAGTGCTTTTGAGACTGTAGTGCAGTTTCTTACAACTAGGCCAGCAGAGCTCCCTAGAGTTAGACGTCATCAAGTCGACTATGACTCTATGAACAACAAATCTGCACCTTGCCCTATTCTCTGCCATCCCCATGATCTCTGACATACTTGATCCCGTTGTTATAATCACTGTGCCATTTTTCAAAGTGTATTTATGCCTTAAGTTTACCAACTCAATAATGTTGGATAATTAGTATGAAACATTAAATAATTGAATCATAAAATAATTCATACTTGATCAAAATTTTAGTCAGTTCAGTAAGTAGAAAAAAATAGAGATTGATCAATGTAGACACTGAAATATTAAGAGAACTTAAAAGAGAGAACATTTTATCTTTTCATTGTTAAACTGGTTAATTTTTACTTGATTTGTTATGCATGTTGAAGCACAATTTTCTAAATTTCTATAATAACTTTTTATTGTAAGTCCTCTTTTTATTATTTTTGTCTATATTCATGTGAGTCCTGACCTTTATTCTTTATATTTTTTTACTGACTGTTACTGTACTGTAGAGTCAGAAACGACCCATAACTGACTTTCTGGTGGGTTTTCAAAGGCAGTTAATCACATGGGAGGAGATGGCCCATGAACAGCTAGTGGGCTCAAATTCATGCCTTTTGGATTGCAGTGCAGCTTTTTACAATTAGGGCACCTAATCTCCCTGAATTATTACTACTAATAGGAATTATTGCTTTGTTGTTGTCGTTGTTTGATTGCCTTTGAGTCGAGCACAACTCATAGTGACACTTTGAAAAAAAGATCTTAAGATCCTCTACAACTATTGACATTTATCAAGTTCATAGGGTTTCCAGAGGCATGTTATTTAGGAAGTGGATGTCACTCCTGCTTTACAACTTACAAATTTCTTTTTATATTAGTAATTACTATTATTACTACTCGTTGTTGTTTACCATTAGGTCAGAAACGACCCACTTTTATGCCATTAGCGATATTTAGTGTCTGGAAACATCTGATTTAAAGCAATTGCAATCTAAAGGTTGTTGTTGTTATGTGCCATTGAGTCACCTGTGAACCATAGCGAACCTATGTACAATAGCACTAAACTCTGCCCTATCCTATACCAATCTCACCATCTCCAACACACCCACCCCTATTACTCCAGGCACTGAATCAATGAATCTCATCGAGGTCTTCCCCTCCTGTGTTGTCCCTCCCAAGCATGACGTCCCTCTCCAAGGACTGGTCCCTCCTTGCAACATGTCCAAAGTGTGTCAGATGAAGCTTCAGGATCCTTGCCTCCAAGGGGCAGCCCAGTAGGTATTTTTTTTATTAGCAGATAGATGATCAAATATCAAATATTCCTTAGATCAAGGAGCTGTTGTCTGAACAGAGCATGGTTCAAAACAAAGAAAGGAAATAAAGAAAATAAACGACTGGTTTTCTGACTGTTGTTGTTGTTGTTAAGTGCCGTCGAGTTGCAGGGAACTAATAGCAACCCTATGAAGGAGAGTCCTCGATGCTTGGGTGCCTTTCATCCTCTCTCCAGGTTCATAGGTTTTCCAGAGGCAAGCTATTACAGAAGTGGATGGCACTCCTCCTTCCAAGCTTGTTTAAATTGGGGAGCTTCACCCCACTCTCTGTCCGCATTGGGTAGCCAACCATTAACACATTTGACACGCTAGTGTCACAGTGTTCAGCCTCACAGCAACCACAAGTGACCGCGGTATGGCAACTTGTACACCAGTACTATATGACCTAGAGGAATGTCTGAACAAAAACAATGAAAGACAGGCCCGAGGGCCACGGATTGAAAGTCACCTGCCTTTGGCTTGGTAGCATCACTTTCTGTTCCCTGGGCCAGCTATCTCTCTCTCTGTGTTGAAATCGTTGTTAAGTGCTGTCGAGTCGCAGGCGACTCACAGAGATGATAAAATTTTAGTTTATTATTTCCATTTAAAACATCCCTTATATTTCCTTTAGGGTTTCTTAGATGAAACAATCATTCTCTCATACCTTCCTTTTATTATATAGTAACCTTAAGCTCAAGGAACTGAAGAACAAATTCAAACCTCCGGTTGCTATAATCAAGGATGCTTTAGGCAGAATATCCAGGAAGTACTAAAACAAGATGGAAAAAATATACTGAGTCACTGTATCGAAAGGATACTGAGTCACTGTATCGAAAGGAATCGGCAGACACAGAAGAATTTCATGAAACAATATATGAACAAGAGCCTATGGT